TCAGTGTGTCTCAGTGTAGATTAAGCATGCGGAGGAGCACAGGATAGACTAGTGTGCTCTTGTATTGTTATCCACGCAGCACGAGCAATAACGCAATGCCAACCAATTTGCGTTTTCGTGGATATGCAGAAGACTGTGGTTGGTGCGCGCTGTCTGTCCATCCGCCTCCTGGTTGGTCGTAGTCTTTGCATTATGGTCAATGCGTAGGCCGTTCGTACGGGCACGCCAGAACTCACTAGCCAGACGAGGATCCCTATTCGTAATGATATTCCTGACACATCTTCGGAGCTTTCAGGCATTAGTGAAGATTAACTGAGTGCCTTCCTGGCCGTGGCAGAACGTGACCCCCCGCCGTCCTCCACCATAGCCCATAGTCACATCAGCACAATTCCAGGAACCAGAAGGTTTTCAAAAGGCGAAAAAGTCAGAAGAAGTGCACTTTCAGCTACTGTCAAGCTAGGCATGACAGTGCACACCCATCTGTATTAGGACGCATCCGAGTTCCCCGGAAGCACCGCTGTCGCTTTCCCAGTGCAGTGCGAGTCTCTCACTGGCTTTAGTGGATCTGCTTTGTGCCCTGCGCACACTGGCAACACGGCGTGAACTCGGGGTTTACAGACATCGCAGTCCTCGCTTTGCTGTCAACTGGAGCAAGTCATCTTCAACCTGATAGTGCTTCATGCTTTTATCGTTGCGGATTTCGCTTACAGTAGCAGATGCGCTGGGTTCCTAGCCATACGACTCACGCAAAATGGGCCATCACCGTGAATCATTACAGACGAGAGCAGTTGCGTTGCACAAAGATGAATCCTTGGGGTATCGCAAGAGCGTGTCAGTGACACATTGGGGATTCCCTGAATGCACGTCACTGTAACGTCGTAAAGCAGAAGGACCCTAGGCCAACAAGCAGCTCTATGACTATCGGAGTCTTGAAAACCTTGTGTTAGGTACATTTAAAACTTGTGGTTTGTGTAAGCAGTAGCATGATCTCTACATGAGAGTAGTGTTGGCATTTTGCACGGTCCACTACACCGCAAATTTTTTTTTCCCTTCCCCCGCATTAGATTCCGCTGCTCCGCTTCGGTGAATCGATAAGATGACAGGCAATAATTCGGTATTTTGGAGAGCCCTTAACTTGTTGGGAAAAGAGTAGCGCACACCGCTGCGTTGCTAGGGTCGGCTGTTTGAAAAGTATGGTGCCCGTAGTCGAGCGACACAATTGCCTGAGGTGTAAGGTAGCCGATAAGCGGCCTTGTTGCGGCATCAGCTTCCTCTGTCTCTGTCATATACTGCGCTTTCTAGGATACATAAGTTGAATCAGCAGCAATCAGAGCAAGCCCACGAATAAGGTTTCTGTAATAAGATGCAAGTCTATAGTTCTGAATGCGCTTGCGGGTGCATACAGACAAGGGCCACGCCATAATTGCTTTTGTTGTTGCCAACTCTGGCTTAATTGCTCTAACCACAACATGGAATCCTCTGATAAAAAGTAATTATTTGTGTACCTTCGCATTCCACCGCTGGTATCACAAGAGCTGAGGCTCACGCGGCAGGTGCTGTAGATGCTCCTAAACGTTTTGGCTGAGAATACCGACGCCCGCTTAGACAGCCATCCAGCCATCTTCCACAGACTTACACAAACTCTTGATCATCTTGCTGTCTTCGTGAAGCAAAGACCTTTGTAAGTTCAACCAGCAAACGCAAATACAAGACTGCGCTTAGGCAAGTGTGTACCTGTCACTCTCAAAACGGTGACTGGAGTTTTGCAAAAAGTCGTCTGCGCAGTCATATGTGAAGTAGACTGTTGACCCACGTAGTAAGTCAGGCCACTTGTCAAAATGGGACGTTGGGGATCTTCGTTTAACAGCAGTGATGTGCAGAGGCTTCAGGCTGCCGCACATGCGTCACCTTCTGCCCGAGTTGGGCACATCTATGAGGTAATACCTAGAGTTGCTGGTCGATTCCAACAGTTTGCCTTTTTCAACAAATCAGCCTCCTAATGCTCAGTCTCTTCTTCGTGCTGCAAAGTCTTCCAATACCGCGAATCATAGCTTGGGTTAGACCCGGAGATTAGGATGATACGGTGCTTCGGGCGACCAGCAGGTGGCCTGTCTGCTGGCAGCTTGTCAACGTATATCACATCCGCGAATTCCTCATGAGACTTGCCGATTCCTGCCAGTCCTTATCTGGCCGTTCAATGGCACTCCGTAAGAAAGAATTGGCTGCAGAGCTACTAAGGAGTGCATGCTCCATCCCGCCTTCCGTTACTGCTCTACTGAGACTCCCTCATGAAGACCCTGCCCCACCTTGTCAGAGCATGGACGGACCCACTCACCATAGGAGGCTAAAGGAGCGCTGTCCGAAACTGAGAGTTGCTTTTCCTAGCATTTCATGGCACACTAACTCTCACGGTCCGCAGATGTGAATGCATATCCGTCTTAAGGTCACTCATTATATACTCACGATTTGGACATGGTGTACAGGGACAACACAGAAACAACGGAACATACTGGCAAAGCTCAATCGAATTTGGACTAGCATATAAATGCCGTAGCCTTACCACTTCTTGCGTGTCTTGCCTTATGCCGTCCGTGAGCCAACCTGAGTTCTGGCGATTGCGTTAACGATTTAAAAACCAGACAAGATTTTTGCACTGCCTCCTGGGGTAGCAGATATAAAATAATAGGCGTTTAAAATTGTATTCATACTTAATTTCTGTTGTGAATTTGTAGCAACGCAGAATCGACTCGTACTAGATCCCCAAGTGCGGCCCTATCCCCTGTAGCACCCTTCACTGCACCGCAGCCTGCATGGGTGGCTTTCCGTTTTCCTAATCTGCCTGTTTGCTCGCCAAGCAGCCAAATTCCTCTGGGCCCCGTCTCGTTGCTCAAGTTGTCTGGTGTTTTGCATGCGCTCGTAGTTTCGGATTATACGACCCAAAATTCCACAATAGAAGCAGGCGTGTTGTTGGCAGGCTCTCTGAAACTGCTTAAGAGCACCGAACTCCTCTGGATTTCTTTTCTAGCTCACCTTGGTCTATGAGCTAGGGCCGGTGAACACATCTGTCACTGAATAGGCTCTAAATAGCGATTTGGCCCTTATTTTTTAGCCAAAGAGACCGCAGCTGTGCTCATTGGCTCCTGAAATCGCGAGATATACATCATTTTTGAAAGCATGACCAGTTGGTTGCATAATGGCTAACTCGCTGCCCATCTTGTGACCACTTGCTATGACACTTCGGATCGACTCTCGATATACCACTATCAAATCGGCTATTCGTCTACTCTGTGGCTTTCAAAAGCCAAATTTTCCTAACCTCCAATATGACCTTTAATAAAAGAATTATTCTGTTCCAACCTTCTCATTACCCCTAAACCTCCCAGCTGAGCTGATCCTCGCAGAAACCGACAAATCAAGGATTGCAGTAATGTTTTAGATTTAGTAGTCACTGTAGGCGTACGACTTCCTGTACCTTAATTGGATCAAAGCCAACCTACTTTCTCTTCAAAAAAGCTTTCAAAGGAGCAATCGTTTCTGTTCGTCTGGGGAGAGTAAGCGAGGTATATCTCCAACCGGCTGATAAATTTGTCGAGTGCCTGCATATCCCCACGGTCATCATACTTCTTATGGTCGGCATAGCCTCACCGATACGTCTAGCAACATTTTGTTGGCTGACAAATTATGGGTGTCCAATAGGTGTTGGGATACAAAGCTTACATAGGCTTGCAGGCCGGCGTCTGCCACGCAAACAGGCACTGCGCCAGTGTCAACTTCAATCGTCAAGAAGATTTTTGGATTGTTGCAACGAATATCAACTTATTGAGTTGTCGAATAAAGCGTTGCAAAGTAGACAACATTTGTAGGGAAACCTGACATCCCACTGCATACACAACCAGTGGACGAGCGAGGAACTGCATCGGGACGAACTCGTGCTAACAACTGTAACTCCCTATCTCAGCGGTCCGTGGGGAGGTGCATCACTGAAAATACAACCCAAATAGGAGACGACTGGAGGTTTCTTCAATTTACTCACCCATTCCCCCTTCCGTGCTTCTCAGTTGCCAACGTGCGGATAGAGGGACAGCTGCAATGTGCGTCTTTGCACCCTGTAAGCACTCCGAGCACTCACAGCTAGTTGCACATAGCATTGAGGGCACAAGCACGAAATTCCGCGTCATGGTGTATCGATTCAACAGTATTATGGAATGAAGTGTGCGAAAAGACTTGTCAAGCAGTCCTTTCTTTGATAATGCTTAATTAAGTACTCGCAGTGTGATAGAGAGTGCTTCAGCGTGGGTAAGAATGCTCGTGTACCGTAAAAGGGTTAGAGATTGTAGCTTGGATACAGTTTACAGCGGCAGCCGATCCCTGGGTGTGACTGCTCGCGCCTCGGCTTGCTATTGCACATGGACGGGATGCAGGTTATGCGAATTCGGGTGGAAGCAGTATTTCTACAAACCTCCAGCTGTAGGAGTACCTCAGGCCTTCAAGTCAGCACAGGGAGTGTAGTGGGCTAAGTGCATTAAAAAGCTTTCTACCACACTGGTTATATGTAAATGAGAACTATGGAGGAACTAATTGGGTGATTCGCCTGCTTGGACACCTAATTACTGCAGCGTACTGATGATACAAGAAGATCCAGAATTTGGTACATGTGCGCCAAACGCTACATGCAACTGGCTGTGAGTTCGCGGAGAGCATGGAGGATGCATTGACGAGCACCCTAGCTGTTTTCTCTGGCGGGAGCGAGCAGGAGCGCGAAGAGGGGAACAAGGGAGTTTCTTCAAAACCTTTGATAAATTCCTATGCTGTTTGCTCTGAGTTTGAGCCAAGTATCTCCCTATCGACACCTCGAGTGGAGCGCTTCAAAAGTATTGGAGGGCACGCTAGCAGTTGGCAAGCGCCGCCTGCTAGCGTGCCTTTAAGTCGCTCCACTCGCGTTTTTAGTACGGAGAAAGCAACTAAAGCGGAGGGAAATACTAAACGAAAAGCTAAAGCCTTCAAAGGTCAGTGGCCGTCCCCGACGGGCCCTTGTTTTGTTCACCTTTCTCTGCTGCATCGTCTTTTTTGTCTGCCGCGCGCAGAGGATCCTGCGCTGGCGAATTCTCCTGCTTCTGCTCGTGATCCATAGAAAGTACATCTCTCAACTCGAAACTTCCACCGCTGGGTGAAGCTGAGCTCCGTGATGAAAGCATCTTGGGGGATCCCCCCACACTTTGGAAGGCTCTCTTTAAGGCGGAAAGGAAGGAAGGCGAATCGCTCGGGGAGGGGCCAGTGAGATCTGTGTCAAGACTGCGGGCATGCTCTGCATGGGCAGCAGATGCATCAGCGTCGTCATGAGCGCTCATTTTGCCCAGCGGCGGGGAGGAAAGTGAAGAATGGGAAGGAGTCCAATGCGCTTGAAGCCATCTGTTTAAAAGCCAGTGGGAACTCCCGGCAGGCGGAGGATGCAAAATCTCGGCTGAAGCCTCTCGGTCCGTCTGCTGCTGCTGTTTCTCTTTCTGTTGGTCGTTTTTCTCGACCTGATGTTGCTTGTCCTCTTCAGGCTGCTCCGCCTCCTCTGTCGGCAAGTCAGCAGCGATCCTTGTTATGACGTGCGCCAGCCTGTATCCACCAACGGCGATTTGCTTGCGTGCTTCCTCCTTCACGGCTTTCATGTACCTGTCGCTAGGAACATAGGGCAGCGAAGCGGCAGAGAAGGTTGCCCAGTCGAACTCTGAGTGCAACAGTGCAACACGCAGAAACGCGCAGAGAACAAAGTAGGAGGACGCATATAGGCGTTTCCTTCTCGGAAGCAACACACGATCCCGGCTACTCCCACGAGTTGAATGGTCGCGATTCGCCGGCAAAGTCGTGTTCTCTCGCTTGCCGTTCGCTCCCTACTAACATGCACTCTATTAGGTGGCTTCTCCGTAGCGCCAGACTGCGTGTGTCACAAGCAAGCCTTGCTAGGTGCATGACAATTATCTACAGTTTACGGCTGTGATTTGCACAGCACCTTGATATGCGACATTCTGCGCGAGTCGGGCGCTTTCTTCCGCAATCGCGGCAAAATTCGTGCCATCCAGCACTCCCGTAATCCGATCCATCAACACGCTTTTCGGATACTCAGCAATGATATCCAAGGCCTGCATGGATCGAACGCAGCGTTATGCGTGGCTGCATTATGTCAGCCTCCCGGGTGTGCTACGCGCGTCAATAAGTGCCCAGTAAATTCACGAATCCAGACAATGGCAACCACGACTCAGGTATACTTTCAAGCGCATCTCTGATGCACGCAGATGTGTCGGGATACCGGAAGGATTCATGAAGGGCCGTGTTGTTTGAGGGCACGGCAAGGAAAGCAACCAAAGGCGCAAAGGGACAAAAGCGCACAGCCCTCTGGGGTACAAAACGCCACACACCCAAATGCAGAGCAGAGGAGAGGAGCGACTCACCGCTTCCTTGATTGTTGACCAATCAATTTCAGCAAAGTGTTTCTTGAAGACTCCGCCTCCCGCGTCCCACAGTTGGTGGAGAGTAGTGGGGTGCTCTTCATGAGATACAATGATCTAAGAATTCAAAGAGGCACGAAAAGACTTTTCATGAGAGCAAAAGCCACGCCTTCGTGGCTGCTTTCGACGCCCTACGCTGGTTTCGCCCCATCAATCCTAGCTGACTCCTCTCACTGACTATCCGTGGGCGTGGTATGTGTCTGTCCACTGTCTCCTTCCTTGCGCACTTACCGCGTTTCCTCCATCGTCTCCGTCAGGAAAATCTCTCGCAAATAAAGTGACTGCATGCAACGGCTGATGCAGATCTCCAAAAATGTGCAGCAGCAGCCGTAGATGCAAATTCAGAGAAAACGGCGACCCTTTTCTGCATGCTGGCTCCGAAGAAGACGCAGAAGTGGCACAGGAAGACGGGGACAAAGAATACGGGCAGTCTTCCAGCAAACTCCTATAAACTGTTTCCAATGCCCACTCTGCTCCTGAAAGGTCATAGAAAAGCCACATTTTTTCACCGGAGGTGCAAACCCGACAACAGACACTACCATAGGTGGAATTTTTCATCGCACGCATGGACAGATTCGATCCAAGCTCATGAAACTCATCTATTTGTTTTGATCGGGAGGTGCAAACAATTCGCATGAAAACGGACAAAACGTGAGGAGTAGTGCTGTAGGGGTGCATGGCGAATGAACATACACGTGCGCATGTTGTATGCGCATGCTCCCTCAAATGTAGTGTACATCAAATCCTGGATAGTGCTCGATAACCACATACCTGTTTTGGGGAGAGGATAATGCTTGTAAATATCTTTGAGCTCAATGTTCTGAGGATTTAGAACGCGAGTGGTGTAATGCCAGGTCCTGAAGATCTGGGCAGCCGAACAAGCAACCAGAAACAAGTGCGTATTGATTCAAAAGAGAATGCCCGTGGCACCCAGTGATGGCAGCAAAATACCCTGGGCGAAGTCAATAATTTGTGATGTATGTGTGCGTGATTCATAGCGTCATTTGTTGTTCACTGTCTTATTGGCTGCATTTCTAGAGAAGCACCGCGATTCGCGAAGGTGAGGTACGATGTGAAACATCGGACCACGTTTGCTCAGGAGAATATGCAGGGTATCTTGAGAGTAGCAGGTCTTAGTGTTTTCATGTTCATAAACAGCACTGCGCCTTCGTTGGCTCGAAGGCGCATCCAATTTGACTAAGTGCCATTTTCCATTTCCTAAAGGGTGCGCGGTTCCGGGATTTCGCACTGTCAAGCATGGAACAACTTCAGTGTTGCTGCCACGCACGTGCCGCTGAAAAAGCGAAACAAACCGACCTGCACATTGTCGAGATATCTGAAGCCCTCGCAGTAAGAGCTTTCTTCTCTGCATTGGATGTGGTCCAACCAGATAGCGCCGTTTTCCATGTTCCCCGTTCCTGAAAGCAAGAAAATCCCAGAGAAACGAGCAGCAATACATGGCGGACGCACGTAGGTGAGGAGAGGGAAGGGTCGTGATCACGAGCAGCGGGTGCATTCAGAGGTGCTCCTCTACAGCCCCTTGTTGGGAGGGCAATTCTTCAAAGTGCTGCTTCCAGTGAGAGAAATCAGGAAGCAGCGTTTACTGCACTTTACCAGGGAAATCAGGATCCCACTTGGACAGTGTTTTCTCCACCTTCTCGACAATGGTAGAAGGCAACACAAGCTTGGCGATAGCGGCAATCAGCATGTGGCCCTAATGCACAAAAGATGACACCACGGCGCGAGAGTCTAGACTACCGGAAAATCTGTGACAGAGCCCCCTTGCTGCACAATGAGAAAACGTCTACGCTGATAAACTAGACAATAAACAGGAAATGCAAAGGAATGCAGCAAGAAGAAAGATGCAATGCATGCACCAAGGATGCAGCTGCGAATTGTCAAGTCAGAAGCAGGGCAGCAACGCGCACATCAGCACGGCATACGCAATGAGAACATATCGATACTTCAGACTGCAACAGGAGGCTACAGGAAAAAAGGTCATTCGAAATCGGGTTTATGACAATTTTGGGGGGAAGGAGAAGCCGAAAACGAACCTCATCAAGCCAGGCAGAGGAGGTGCGTATTTGCTGTGCAATAACCCCCATGAATAGAAGGCAGAGCACGAAAATTTTCTGTTTCCCAAAGAGCTCCATTTTAGTTATCCCTGCTGAGCTGTACTGCAAGTCCCTTTCTGCAAGCGGAATACTGCAAATCGGTCTGCCGAAGGTGGGCCGTCTGCTCCGTTGTTTTTTAAGCGGAATGAATTATGGAGAGCGGTGAAGTTGCTTTAATTTCCGTTCACCAAGCAGCAGTGAAGACAGTGGTGGAGAATTCGGTTCGTTCTGAATTCGCGGGGTCCCTTTTTTGCGTTTGCACAGTCTCCACTTCCGTATTCTGCACTACCATTTCCCTCTAAGCAATGTTTTTACACGTGGAGCCGAAGTAAGAGTGTAGAGAAAAGAGAACAGGCAGGAAGGAGCCTGCCGCGGTGCTTTTCCACGGCATCTACCCGGCGTTTTTCGAACTTAAACGTCGGCCAAACAGGCCAAGGCAAATACACATAAAGGCTGAAGGTGACCACGTTTGACAGTATTTACTGGCCTATAATTCTGGATTCTACTTGCTGCGAAGAATCATACCTCCCGCGGAAAGAGGAATGCCACTCGCCTGTGGTGGAACAGCAACAGTGCCGTCCGTGCACAAGCAGGAGCGAGAAAAGTGTGTTATGGATACCTCTTTGCTCAGAGAAGAAAAATAACTACGACAGGTGTAAATAAAAACGCAAACGACTGATATGGCGGGGAATAAGCTGCGGCAAACTGCAGAATGCAATTCGGCCACGCACACCAAGAGGGGACTGGGTGGGGGGGGCCATGGGAGTCAATTACCACCGAGGCGAAATAAGCTAAGCAGTGCTTCGAGGTGTCGTTAAAAAGAAATACAAGAGGTAGCTGCCAGGATAAAACTGCTCTACTCATAAGCTAGATTATTTTTTCATCGAAATTACGCGGAAATCCCGCTGTCCTTTAAGGCAACAAAATGCACGGTAACAGCCCCTAATCCCCACCTGGCCCGAAAGGACCATCGATCGCTTTTCGTTGTGATTTAAAGGGAGATCTGAAATTGTATTCCGAAACTTGTGCACAACTGAAGGTTTCGGTGCTCATTCGTCCTTTTTGGGGCGCTGTGCCTCGCATATTACCGCATGCTAATGCATTCAGACACAGCATTCGACGATTGTGACCCTGGAATTTTCGCATTGCCAGTACAAAGGCGTGCACCTCAATTAAATACCATAATTCATCGCGGATTATCGTTTTTTTATCGCCGTTTTTATAGTCCATCCTCTTTTGCTGATCGCTCGACTTAAGTACACGGTTCAAGTGGTTTGGGGGACAGAACGCAAAACCTTGCGTCCGGCACGCTTGCCCGCTGGAGCTGGGCGCTCTGGTATATCTGGTCACTTTCTACCACCTTAGGCATAGCTAACTAAGAACTCATGATCGATCGAGTGTTTGTTTCACCTGTGGTCATATCTCATTAATTGCAGAGCAATGCTATCCCGATACAGGATACGTTGTGTTCGTGTGGCCCAAAAGCTACATGCGACTACCTGGGAATGCTTTGAATCCTTAGAGGGTAGAATCAGCATCCTAACTCGCCCAGTTTACACGTGTGGAAACCCATACTGGTCGCAGGGAGGGCGAGGCGGAAGAATTTTAGGAAGACTTTCGGTAACCTACTTTGTTTGCATTGAGTTTGCAGGACAGCGCCTCCCTGCAGAGATCTTGAATCAAGCGATATAAGGAGCTTGAGCGCAACAGTACACTAGTCTATCCTGTGCTCCTCCGCATGCTTAATCTACACTGAGACACACTGAGAAGCCCCTCTCCCATCCGGGCCTAGAACCAGTCGTCCGGGGTCACCAACCACCCTATGGCGACAATAAATGCAAATAGAATGCATGCGAATGCATGCAGAAACCTAGGAAATAGCATGGATCTTGGATAAGCGCCGGGCAGCTACGCATGGTCAGCCTGGAAATTTGGTGCAGTGGGGTCGGCACGCTTGAGGAGATGCACCATACAGTGATTGCACGAAGAGATTTGTAGCCAGAGGGCTAGAAGGAATTGCGCTTTCCTCACGAGTATCTGCTTGTCCTTGTCCATCAATGGCTCTAAAAAATGAGGGTGCGACAAAACTATAAAGATTGCCTTCCCTAGAAGTTTCGAAGGTTTCCGGATTCCCCGCAGGCCCTGCGGCTCAGCCAAGTGACCCGTATGGAGGCAGGAGATGCACAGGAAGCCGTGAAAGTGCTGAATTCTATGACTGTTGAGCGCCGAGGATACACTAGTCAGAGCTTTTAATGGGGTAGGGAAGGTCAGCCTTAGTCAAGTGGTAGATAAAGGAACACAGCAGCTGCGACATTCGCTGGGCGCGAGAGCCTTTGCGGGTCTGTTTGTTTTACAGCCCTAGTTGCCTTGGACACCATTACTCCCGTCACTTGGTAATCATCCCCCCCAAGCATGCTCTGCCTGCTATAACTGTCTTCATCTATGGGAATTGTTCATAGAGTTGTTGCCGAATACTGCTGATTAGGTGTTTTCTACACTCAGCATTATGCATCTCGCCGGTATTTTGTCTGTACTGTTTTTCCTATGCCTCTTTTAGAATTTTCAAGCTGGTTCTGCTGCATGCACTGGCTGCATTTGCATGCAGACATTCCTGAATGAACCCTGGAGGCACTGTTGAGTTTTTGTGTATTTTGAATTCCCTCACGCTTTCTCCTGTTACCTCATAGCAAGAGGCTCACAACATTTCAGCGCTCGTAGGACAGCAAACGTTTGCACTGCCGCGGTCGTGTTGATTTGGTCTCTCGTTCGTTAGTGGCTAGTGTGCGCAAGTTTTTTTCATTTGGGTTCTCTTTGGCGGATGGCTCATGATGCTG